CAGGTGTAAAAAGTGTATTAATGTTAAGGAACTGTGGGCACATGAACACAGCAAGGCAAACGTAGAATTAAGATATGCAACTTCAGCTACATCAATTGCATAGCTGAACTTGAAATGGATTAATTTGACTTTTGGTGCTGTCTACACAGCACTCTTCCTTCAACTTCCCTTACTTCTCATGAAATGAGTGTGAATGGAGTTGGAGTAAGAAGTCCTCCATCTCAACATTATTTTGAAATAATGCCTTGCTGTGTAGACACACATTTTATTTCAAAATAACTGATGTTATTCCAAAATAATGCTGCTGTGTAGCTGTAACCTAAGTGTTCAAGTGATATTTGTACTGGATATGTGCACAATGGTGTATATGTAAGGCAAGGAGGGTTCAGCAAGTGAATAATGCAACAGTCCTTTCAGTAGTATAAGTCATACCTCCAAGAAATGTAATTATTTTTCTTTCTACAACTTTTACCATATATTTTCTTATTTCAAATATGGGGGCATTGTTTCCTCATCCTCACCATGAGTAATACCTGACATGGGAGACTGGAAAGAATATATTTTGATTGTCATTAATGGTTTAATCAGTGACTTATTCATAGACATAAACCCATAGGAATCACTCTCTGCCTTTAAACTGTTTCGAACTTTTCCATCATTTTTAGGAATATATTTCCCCTATTGCCTCAGCTTTTTTCATAGATGGGGGTCTATCTTTTTCCCCTTTGAATTCAGTGGAAGTTTTGCCATTGAGTATGAATATTTCAAGTTATGTTTTTTGTTTTGTTTTTTAATTAGGACCGCTTTAGAGCCCTAACAAAAAAATCATTACAATTAATGTACCCTAATTTTCCATGCACAGAATATCAGACAGCAGATTTCCTTGTGGCTATGTATTACTTGAAATGATACTCTATTTTTTTTTTTTTTTGCAAATTACTTGGTGTATGGATTGATCACTATCTATAATCTGTGAGTACTATTTTCAAAAAAATCTGAACAAAACAAAAACAGAACCTGATTTGTTTTTGTTCCCCGCTGCTTCCCCTGCTCCTGCATCAGAACTGTAGCATTTACTGTGCTCAGGTATATTTCATATTCAGTTTTCATGAGCAGAGACAAACGTAACTTGGAAACGTTGATAATTCTCTGTGGATTTTCCTACCAATAAAACTTGATTGCATAAATTTTCACAGAAATAAGAACAAAGCTGAATTGAAAAGTAGATGACATGAAATGAAAAGATAGTCAAATGAAAACATTCGCCACCATTTATGATGCTGTAGTCTGAAACTTTAAGACTTTTTTTTTGCTTCCCTCTTTTAATCATTTAGCAAATAAACAATGCATCTGTGACTCTAAAGTAGGGGTCGGCAATCATTTTCACTGGGGGGGGTCACTCCACAAATTTTGGTTAATTGTCAGGGGCTGCAAATTTCTTACTAATGAAATTACATCACCATCTATTGCAGAGCTGGGCAAGATATGGCCTGTGGGCCACATCAAGGCCACATAACAATTTGATCTGTTTGCGGACTGCAATTTAAAGGGTTTGTGGCTCCCGGCCCCACTGCTAATGCGCTACCTGGCTCCTGCCTGGGACAGCTATTTAGAAGGCTCATATCTCCAGCCCTTGCCAGGGTGGCCCTATGAACTGGGGCCACAAGTCCTTTAAATAGGGGTCTGCTGCCGGAGACACCTCCTGGAAACTCTTTGGCACTGGCAGCAGGACATAAATAGTAAGAGGACAGATATAGTCTACAGGCCAGATCAAGGCCAGCCCATAACATTTTGGCACCTGAGGTGGGGAGCTCAAATGACACCCCCATGCCACCTCGCTTGGGCCAAAACTTTGAAAGGTCTCAATTCTGCCCTCTTCCTGTTCTACTCCTTTCATGGCACTCCACCATCTCTGTGCATCTAGAGCACAGAGAATACCTATGCACCAGCAGCAGACACAATTTTCTACACTCTGGGTCCTAGTGGCACCCCTCCCCCACAGTCTGGCACTTGAGGCGGCCGCCTCAGTTCTCCCCATGGTAAGGCCAGCTGTGGGCCAGATCAAATTGTTAGGTGGTCCAGATTTGGCCTGGAAGCCATATCTTGCCAGTTCTGCTCTAAAGGCTTGTCTGCTTTGTGCATTAGTGTGCACTATAGTGGTATAAATTCTAGTGCATACTAGGGGTCACACTAGTCTGTAGGAGTCCTACAGGCACACACTAGAAGTTCACTAGTGCATATTAATCAATACCTCCACTGGACACTTGCCACCTGCCAAAATATGACATCTGGAACCTTGCGTCTTGACCTGCACCATTGGGTTCCTGAACTGGCGTGGGGAGAGTGACCTACCTCCAGTCTGGAAGTGCGGGAAAAACACAGGCCAAACACAGACTTCTGTGGGTGAGGAGTACTTCTGCATTGTAGTTGTGAGCACGCCTTATAAAAGTCTTTCAATTTCCTGGAGAAATGGGCATATTGCCGATGGCTGCTAATCCATAATGTACACAAATCATTTTGTTGTATGTTTTTTTAAGTGAGTTTATTCATGTAGTTTCTCCTTAAGAAAACTCTTAGGGATATAGGAAGATTAGTATCTAGAACATCTGTTTCCTATTAGCTAAGCCTATGAAAATTGTTTTTTTCCTCCCTGAGAGTCAGTTGCAATCCTCATGATCTTGAGCCTATACTTGCCTGCTTGCCTGCATTCAAGCTGAAGAGACCTGTAATTAGTTTGAAAATTAATATTTCCTCTTGAAAATGATTTTTCGAAAACATGCTGCCTGTGCACGCATGCATAAACATTACTACTTTTTTTCAAATATGACAAGATGGATCAACTCATTAGGTTGGGTCAAACAAAGCAGGAGTTACATATATTTCAGATACTATTTAACCAAAGCTGTTTCCTTCCTGGTTTCTGCTACAAGATATCAACCGCAGTTCCTCCCTGATGGTAAGTCATGCTCAAGTCAAGGTAAAGTAGAGCCAAATTGCCACAGGTCAAACAACAGTGGTAGTCCACAACTGGCTGTTAAACCATTTAAAAGTTTATTATTCCACTGTGGCAGGGTCTGATTCAGCATTTCTGCAGTGAGGCTACTATGGAGCTGTAAGAGGAATTTTAAAGTGTCCTTCTAGTGGGATGAATTTTCTCTGTGATAGAGATACACCCCGTCACAGAAAAATGTACCCTGTGTTTTTTTTCCTATGGGGATGAATCTTGCCTTATCTAGGCATTAATATTCATCTATAGATGCTCTGTTTAACTTGTTTTTGTCTTTGGCATGTTGGGTTGCGAACATGGTTGTCAGTGAAAAACTTTGGAAAACCGCGACTTTTTAGTGAAAGCTGTCCCATCTCTTACCCCTGGGTACGTCTAGACTACCGGGTTTTGTCGACAGAAGTTTTGTCGACAGTATCTGTCAACAAAACTTCTGTCGACAAAAAGCGTCCAGACACATTGAGTTCTGTCGACAAAGCAAGTTGCTTTGTCGACAGAACCCTGTAGTCTAGACGCAATCCTACAGGCAATAACACCTTCTCAGCGGTAGTGTAGACGCTGGTATAGTTTTGTCGACAAAAGTCCACTTTTGTCGACAAAACTCAGTAGTCTAGACACACCCCTGTGAGTTATACCCATTTCTATGACTTTAATGTAGACTCTATGTACAGGGTGAACATCTCTAGTCTGGTGCACTCTAGTCTGGAAATATCCATGATCTGGCATGATTTTAGATAGCTGGATGTCCATTGGTGAGTGTGGCCAAATTTGTCATGGTCCTTGTGATGGCTTTTCCCCCTTTCCTGTCCTAGAGGAAGGGGGCTGGGGGAGTTGTGAATCTGTCACGACCTGACCTGTTCACGTCGTGCCCGTCCTGGGACGTCAGGTCTTCTATATGCGAGGTTCTCTAGCCCCACACCAATGGGTACTCGATGTCGGACACGTTCTCGCCCCACGCAGAAGGGAGGAAAAGGGAGGCCCGGGCCCACCCTCACTCACGGGCCCCAGCCCAGGGCCCTAAGGACTCAGAGTGCCTGCCAGTCTGGGCCCGGCTAACGGGGGTATGCCGCTAAGCCACGGGATTCCTCACCGCCCTGCCCTGGGCTACTTCCTTTTCCCCTTTTGGTGGTCCTTACCCCGGCGGTGTCGAATCTCGGCAGGGCAACGGCTCGGGGTAGGGCGCTGTCCCTCCTGGCCGGTCCAGTCTCTCCTTCCAACCGCTCCCCCCTTTCCTGTGTTGTACAGTTTGTTTTAAAGCTCCCGCCATGCTGGTACGCCGGAGTCCGTCCCGCCCCCTGCATTGTCCGCCCCGCTGATTGGCCTCTCGGCCTGTCCGGGTTGGCCCCAGCATCTCTCCGGCGGTGCCACTGCGCTCGCCCAGCTGAGCCGTGTTTTCACTCAGCTGAGCCGCGGTGTCCCCGCTCAGCTGAGCTGCGGCTTTC